AGCGGGGGGGGGGGGGGGTGGGGGCGGAGAGCAACAGCTAGGTGGACAGCAGAGCAACGAGCAATGGGGTGAGCATGCCTCCGAGTTTGGAGGTGAGAGCCAGGCCCTTGCCTCGGTGCCGTCACGGGGAGCCCCCAACCAGCACGGTGCTGCTCAGTGCCTCCCTTTAGGGCCGCCAATATTTGCTGTACAGCCCGGCCGGCGGGGCTCGGGTGGAGTGTCGGCCTAGGAACCAGGAGGTCACCGTTCGATTCCCCGTCAGGGCACAGGCCTGGGTGGCGGGCTCCATCCCCAGTGTGGGGCGTGCAGGAGGCAGCCAGTCCATGTTTCTCTCTCGTCACTGATGTCTCTCTCCCTCTCCCTCCCTCTCTGACATCAATGTACATTCAGGAGCTCCCGTGTCGGGGGCCTGAACGTCACAAAGGTCCCACTGCCTTGCGGGCGACGCCTGCCGTCAGGACGCAAACCCGGCCCTGCCTCTGTCGGTCTCTGTGTTACTGTCTGTCTCGTCTGATCCAAGGGGAGCTGCCCCAGCTTTCTTGCGGTTCCGTTCGCATGAAGCACGTTTCCTATCCTAACGGAGCCCATCTCATGGCCCTGATACTCGGTGGCACACCCAAAGGTGTATTATTTTTTGGCCAATCTGACCAACAAAACAGGCATATTTGTTAGACTTTAGACTCAGTCGCACTGATGGGTGCTGTGTGCTGGCTGTTGTCGTTTTTTAAATTTGACGATCTCAGGGAAACAGGTCGGTCTGACGTATTTTAAAAATTCTCAGCCTGACGGCTGACAGTCGCTGTTGTGTCTGTGGAAATGGCTCTCATCCAGTGTGTCCTGTTCCGTGTGCACCAGCACAGGAAGCACGAACGTGAAGCCAACCTGTTTCTTAACGGGGAGGAGTGGTGCACGCAGCACTGAGAGAGGAAACACCCAGCCGGAGTTTGGAGCCGCAGGGCACCCGGGGAGGCTGGGGAGGAGGGAAGAGCAGCCGGGGAAGCGTGACGTCACGGGAGAACCAAGTGTCAGGCCCCCAATCAGGGCCCCTGCTTACTGAGCCGCGGGCAGGGTCCCCCTCGCGGCCATGGCTGCGGGTCCCGGCGGCCTCACCGCCTGCACAGCGTGGACAGGAAAGCCTGTGGGCGGGCTCACCTCGGTGGCGGTGCTCTGGTTGGCGCCATTCTCCAGCAGGTACTTCACGACCTCGATGTGGTTCTCCTGGGCAGCCATGTACAGGGGCGTGAAGCCGTTCTGGGGACACAGGACAACACGCGGACCGTCATTCCTGACCGGGGAGCGGGCAGGAGCACGGCCGAGGGAAGAGGGGCCGCCCCTCGCGGGGGCGAGCAGACGTGTCCCTGCCATGGAGCTGCCAGGCGCAGGGCCAGCGCAGCCCACACCCAGGCCCTGAGGATGAGGAGCGAGGACATGGGGAAACGCGTCCTCGGTCCCTGTCTTCATGTTGGTCCAGGGAAGCCTGCCTCATCTCCACACTCGTTAAACCAGAGACAGTGAGCATCTATCTGCATGTTCCTAACACAGAATTCTCACCACGTGGCAAACACAGGGTGTCCCCCCAGAATGTAGACGCACTTCGCACAGTTACAAAGGCAGCGTTTGCACCTCAATGGGGTTCTCATCTCAGGGTGAACTTCCTTGGTTTAAAGCTTAGTCTGGCTGGAAAGGAACATCAGTGGATCCATGAGCTGTTAAAGTGAGTAGACATGTCTCTGGGACACCCTGTATATGAAATAGTGTTCATACACTGTCTTCTGTAGTTATCAGCGCGTAGCTATTTAAACAGACCACCATGATCTTCAATGTGCAGTTATTACTGAACATGGGTCGGAGCCAGTGCGCGAAAGCATCTTTTTTAAAGAATATGTTTTCATTGCCCCGGCCAGTTTGGCTCAGTGGATAGAGCGTCGGCCTGGGGACCGAAGAGTTGTGGGTTCGATTCCAGTCAAGGGCACGCCCCTCGGTTGCAGGCTCCTCCCCAGCCCAGGCTCTGGTCGGGGGCATGTGCAGGAGGCAACCAATCGATGTGTTTCTCTCATCAATATTTCTCCCTGTCTTTCCCTCTCTGTTCTACTTTCCCTAAAAAATCAATGGAAAAATATCCTTGGGTGAGGTTTAAAATATATGTATATATATCCTATATAATAAAAGCCTAATATGCTAAGTGTCTGGTAGACTGGTCGGCCATTCAACCAATCAAAGTGTAATATGCTAATGTATGCTAAGGCCGCTCAACCGCTCACTAAGATGTGCAGTGACCACCAGGGGACAGACGCTCCAACCAGTAGGTTAGCTCCCTGTTGGGGTCCAGCCAATCGGGACTGAGCGAGATGGGCCGGACATGCCCTGGAGCCCTCCCGCGGTCCCTCCCTGGCTGGCCAACCTCCTGCACCTCTACCCGGCCCTGATTGTGCACCGGTGGGGTCCTTCGGCCTGGCCTGTGACCTCTCACAATCTGAGACCCCTCAGGAGATGTCGGAGACCCGGTTTCAGCTCCATCCCGCAGGCCAGGCTGAGGCCCCACCTGTGTACACAGATTTGTCGTGCACCAGGCCTCTAGTGTGTGTGTGTGTGTGTGTGTGTGTGTGTGTGTGTAATCTTTAAATTGACTTCAGAGAGAGGGAGAGGGAGAGAGAAACATCAATAATGAGAAATAACTGAGCCCTCAACCTGGGCATGTGCCCTGACCAGGAATCAAATCGTGTGACCTCCTGGTTCATAGGTCAATGCTCAGCCACTGAGCCACACCAGCCAGACACCAGAAATAATTTTGAAAAATATTTTTCAGGGCTAAACATGTTTTAAAAATAATTCAAAGACCTCTTGCCAAGACAGAGAGCATAGAAAACTGCAATTCATGAGCAACATGTGGGCACCTGCCGGGAGCCGGTCCATCCTTGCTGTTTCAAGGGACCTGGCATATATGGCATACTGTTCTTAATATGTTTGCTCACCTTCTTGGCACTATGTGTTTTAACCAAGGTCACCTCTCTGAGAAAGGTTGTTTCCCCAGGTAGAGATTTTCCCCTGAAGTTAGGGAGGGAATAAAACCCCTTATTTTTTTTTCACAGAACCTAGAGACAGAAGAACTTTGCTGGAGAGAACATGGCAAAAGATCCTGGACAGAAACTGGCAACAGAACCTAGAGACAGAACCTAGCAAGAGAACCTGGCTGAAGAACCTAGAGACAGAACCTGGCTACAGAACCTGGATAGAACATGGCAAGAAAACCTGACTAGAACCTGGTGACCAAACCTGGCTGGAGAGCCTGACACAACCTGGCTGGAGAACCTAGCGAGGGAAGCTGGCTACAGAACCTGGCTGGAGAACCTGGACAACCTAGCGAGGGAACATGGCAACAGAACCTGGCTGGAGATCTTAACCAGAACTTCGCTGGAGATCCAGACCAGAACTGGGCTGGAGATCCTGGCTAGGCTGCTGATCAACTGAACGCTGTCTCCGTGTCATTCCTTCTTCGCCAACTCCGTCTACACCTTTGGGAACCCCTGGACCTGCTGGGGTTGGACCCCAGCAAGCACCCAGCTAAAACGTGCCGTGGACGACTGCACAGATGAGGGGGGCTCACTGCCCATTACCCATCTTTGTCGCATTTGCCATTGATAAGAGGGGTGAGTGACGTGGGTCCTCGTGTGCATTTCCTTAGATGAGGCGACCTCAGTGGGAGAGTGTGAAACACAGCGCAAACCTCTGCAGGTTTCCACCTGCCGCTGGCCCTGTGGGAGCAGTGACACCCCAGTTCCACAGGAAAGGGGCGCTGCAGAGCCGGCGGACCTCGGAGGAGAATTCCTTCCTCAGAAGCCTCATTCTCACAGGAAGGTCAGTGTCAGGTTCAGGTTTTCCCAAGCAGAACTGCTCAGCAGGCTGGGGGGCTGCGCGCTTGGGGACACTGCGGGCTGGGGACACTGCGGGCTGGGGACACTGCAGGTTGGTGGGCACTGCGGGCTCATGGGCACTGTGGGCTGGTGTGTCCAGGGGGCTGGTGGGCACTGCGGGCTGTTGGGCACTGTGGGCTGGTGGGCTGCGCGCTTGGGGACACTGCGGGCTGGTGTGTCCAGGGGGCTGGTGGACACTGGGGGCTGGTGGGCACTGCGGGCTGGGGGGACTGCGGGCTGGTGGGTCCAGGGGGCTGGTGCGTCCAATGGGCTCATGGGCACTGCGGGCTGGTGGGCTCAGCAGTGGGCACTGCCAAAATGACCACTCTGCTCACCATCCCAGGGACCCGACCCTCCTCTGCACTCGCCTTCTGAGACAAGCTCCGAGCTCCCACCATGACCTCCAGCCCACGGTCAGGATGATCCAGTTACCTCCCTAAATAGCTCCCAGTGCACAGCTGCAAAGGAAGCGCAGGCCCGCAGCACTAATTACAGCCCCAGAGACAAAGCCGTGGGCGTGGGGCTCTTGGTGCACGGACGCAGTGACACTCGCTGGCGGTGCAGGCCGTTCACTAAGGACAGTGCCGCCCAGGCTCCCCGAGGGCGGGAACTGGCCGGTCTTCACCAGGTGATGACGCTGACTGATTAACCACCCTGTTCCCCCAAAGGCTCCCTTTCCAGCATCATAGCTGCACCAGGAAATGACATTGAGGTGGCTGCCCACGGGTTAGGTGGTGGCATTTCTCCGTCACCAGTGGACTGGGCTTCCTGTGATATCTTCAGAAAAGGAATTTTCTAAGACGCACACGGGAGAACGAATGCTGCTTGTTTGCGTGGAATGATGTGTTTCCACAGCCCCATGTCCCTTAACTCCGTCCTGGGGGATGTGCACGGGCTCTAGCTGAGCTGAGAGCAGGGCCCGTGTGCAGAGCGTCCATTCCCTGGTGTGGCGTCCACGTGGCCAGGAGCCACGTTGGCGGGTGCAGGGGAGCACGCCCCCCAACAGGAGTCCCAAGAGGGCAAGAGCACAAGGGGGGGGCGTGGAGGCCCCTTTGTTCAGGCGTGAAGCATCTCAGGGTCCCAGGCCTCTTCTGGCCACTGACTCGCTCCCAGGTATGACTGAGAGGTGAGCATCTTCCCACGTCACCTGCTGTCACGGGGCTGTGTGTGGTCCAGGCCCCTCGCCCAGGATCGGCGGGGACTGACGGGAGAGGCTGAGCTGCGGTTCCGGGCAAAGCCGTGCAGGTGGCCCATATTCTAGGCTCCCCTTCGCTCCTTTCCTGCTCAACAGGAACCAGGTTGTGACGGTACCAAAATGGTGCAGGTCCTAAGCCCCCAGGAGGTGAGACCTCATGAGAGCTCGCAGGTCGTCCTTTCATTCACACTCCGCCCCCCGGCCGCCGAGCAGACCTGTGCTCCTCAGACCCCGGCTCTGACCCTGGCGCCGACCTGAGCCTCTCCGTTCTCTGAAGCCGCCGGGATGGGCGACAGCGGCTGGCGCGGCAGCTGGAGGGCAAGGTCCCCATTCTCTTGGACACAGAATCCTTCCAGCTTCTGCTGAAGTGGGCGCGGGGCAGAGGGTGTGGCCACAGGAGAGAGGGACCCCTCTCTGTTGCTGTTGGGCCTCAGCCCGTGGAATAGTGGTGGGTCTCTAGACGCCTCGAGGATGAGGCGGCCACGTCATCTCACACCACGGAGCGTGGCGCTCTGGCTGGACCCGCGTGGAACGGATTCTGAGCCTTGGGCCCCGCCCACTACGCGAGTCTGCCCTGCGCTCCAGCAGCGAGCGGGACGGTATCACCACGGCTGGTGTGGTGCCATCAGCAATACTAGGGACACTGTTCCCCCTGCGACTGCCATCACCCCCGCCGGCAGTCCCGGTGACCGATATTCCATGTTTCATGTTACCCGGCGACCCCATCCCTCAGCCTGAACCTGTCTTCCTAAGACACCGGTGCTGCCCGCCGTGTGAACGCTACGTCCGCCGGGACCGGGGCGGCGTGGTGGTGGCCGCGGAGGCAGGCCCCTGTGCTGACAAAGGACGAGGTCTGAGCAGGCCTCACAGCAAGGGCATCGCGCCTCGTCCGTGCTCGGAGGCGCTGTCCCCGCGCCTGGCAGAACCCCCGCGTCTGGTGTGGCAGGTCAGTGCTCACTGAGTCACCAGGACAGAGCCAGGCTGTTCAGCCGCCAGCACCCTGACGTGTGACACGAGATCGCGCGTGCGGCCATCAGACACTGCACCGCGCGAGGAGGCGTGTCTGCCGAGGCTGCGGCCCAGCTCCCAGGGTGGGCTCCTTCCGTCCCCACAGCCACCCTGCAGTCCACGGGCCATGGCGACTCCTGTTGTCCTGACAGGACATCCGTTCGCAGAGGTGAGGAGAGAACAGGGAGGACAGCCAGACGAGGAGGCCCGCGCTGCATGGCACCGGGTGTCTGAGGGTCTGACAAACGGACGCTCTGTCTCCTGGGCACGGACAGCAGCCTGGAGGCTCCGGTGGGAGTGAGGGGGGGCCGGGGAGGCTGGTGAACAGGCGGGACTCCCAGCAGGGAGATGGGGGAGGCCTGGGTCTGCGGTCCAGCAGCCAGTGCCCCTGCCCACGCTGTGCTGGGTGTGGGGACGGCCGTGTTCTCACCAGAAGGAAAGGACGCAAGTGACCGGGAGGGGGGCGGGGGCGGGTAGCTAACCTGATGGGGGGTCCATGCAGGATGCAACTTGTACCAGAGCGTCTGCTACATTAAGCATCAGACACTTTTTTGTCAATTATTCCTCAAGAAAGCTGGAAAAATAAACTTGAAAAATGATATATGAGTTACGAGAAAGAGAGCAGCGGAGTCGTCACCCCTCAGCTGCCCCTGCCCCATGCTGGTGCCTGTGCCAACGTCAGCACGAACCCTGACACCCAGGCACCTCGGGGAGGAGGGGGCCCCCAATAGTTCCCTATCTCAGGGTGGACTTAGGGTTCTGTGTCCACATTCTGTTTTGTTGGTGACCTTTGCCTGGAGGAGCCCCGTGGGAGGTCTTCCGGGGTGACCCCTGCCGCGGGGCGTGAGGTCGGAGGCAGACCTCCGGGGCTGCTGCCCCTGCCCCCTGCCCAGCGGCCTGGCCTCCGTACGGCTCAGACAGAGGAAATCGAGGCCTCCGCAGAGGTCATGAGCGTCTACACTCCTCCCCGCAGGCCGCCTTAGCAGGCTCGGCGCCTTCACCTCAGTCAGGCTAGACTGGAATGGCTTGTGAAGGGGGTAAAGGGTGGGGGGTGGCTGGGCAGGGCCGGCCTGGCTCAGTGATTGAGCATCAACCTATGAACCAGGAGGTTACGGTTCGACCCCCAGTGTGGGGCGTACAGGAGGCAGCTGATCAATGATACTCTCTCATCATTAATGTTTCTATTCCCCTCTCCTTCCCTCTCCGAAATAAATTATCAATGATACTCTCTCATCATTTATGTTTCTATTCCCCTCTCCGAAATAAATTAAAAATATTATTTTTAAAAAAGGGACAAACCAAGATCCAGCTTTGAGGATGTTCAGCCTTATTCCTTCCAGTTTCAGGACAAAAGGACAAGCAGTGCCCAGCCTGTCCCCCCACCTGCCCCAGATGCGCCCCCAGACCACACGTGGGCGTGGTCATCACCCAGGCTGGGAAGCCGGCTGTTACTGCAAATGAAGAGAGTATCAGACACGTCTGTGTGTTACAGACCAGTGGCCTTACCATTGGAATTCCGGGATAGAGGAAGAACCCCACTCTGCCAGACTTTAAATGCACGGATTCTCCTCCTTTCTCCACGCCGATGGGAGACGCAGACCTGGAGAAAGCTCCCGCTTCCTGCGCTCACCTGCAGGCTGGCTTCCTGTCCGAGGACAGCAGGAGCGCCGGCCCGCGCCCGTCCCTGGTCAAAGGCAGGCGCGTGCCTCCATCGACGCTTCAGAGACTCCAATTTTCCCAACTGAATACGCCCAACCTTGACTGAGGGAAATTCCACACGTACCCACTCAGAGGGGGAAGGCCTGAAACAAAACCTTCCTGAGGAATCTGACCCTGAGTCCCATTTTACACTCTGTGTGCGTGTGCATGTGTGCCTGTATGTGTGTGTGTGCCTGTGTGAATGTGAGTGTGTGCCTGTATGTGTGTGCACGTGTGTGCATGCCTGTGTGTGTGTGCATGCATGTGTGTCTGTGTGTCTGTGTGTCTGTATGTGTGAGTGTGTGCGTGCCTGTATGTGTGTGCCTGTGTGCGTGTGCGTGCATGCCTGTATGTGTGTGCATGTGCACACGTGCCTGTGTGTGCGTGTATGTGTATGTGTGTGTATGTGTGCATGTATGTGTATGTGCATGTGTGTGCATGCCTGTATGTGTGCATGTGTACCTGTGTGTGCATGTGTGCACGCGTGTGTCAGGACGAAACGTTCCGTTGTGAGTTTTGTGTGGAGCCAATGCTGGCGCTGTGGTCTGATGGGAGCGATCCGTGGGGCGGGCCCAGGGCCAGCTGCGTACACTCTCTGCTTCAAGGCCCCGCTCACACTCTGCGTGGCTGGGAGAGGCCAGCAAAGAGAAGACCCAGGGAGCCCTGCTGCCCAGGCGCTGCCCACTGCCGACGGGGTCCCTGCCCCCGACACCTGGGAGTGAAATCAATGCCGTGTAACCTTCAATGGGCTGAGTGGCCATGGTCTGAAAGTTAATAAAGTCAGCCTCCTTGTGTTTGTTTTAGAAACTAGAGGCCCGGTGCGTGAATTCCTGCACGGGCGGGATCCCTCGGCCTGGCTGGCGATCGGGCTGAGAGGGCTGGTCGGCCGGGGGAAGGGACTGCGGGAGGTTGGCTGTGGGAGCGCACTGATGACCAGGGGGCAGCTCCTGTGTTGAGTGTCTGCCCCCTGGTGGTCAGTGAGCATCTTAGCGACTGGTCAGCTGGCTGTTCGGTCGCTTAGGCTTTTATTCTATAAGTAGGAAAGGATTTTGGAAAAGAATGTCCAGGACTGAAATATCAAAGCGGGTGAGCATTAGAAAGGGGAGAGGGTTCCAGAAAAACAAGTGGGTTTTCGATACAGCAACTATGCCAGGCTGTGCCAGTGACTCGGGCATCCAGGAAAACGTCCCACATTTTAATTATTTCTTTCTCTCACTCTACAGCTTTACCACCGTACAGACTCAGTCTGAAGCCATCTGTCAGGATTCCCTACAGCATCGTCTTAAATTGAGCGCATTGGACACAGGAGAAGGAAAGATCCTTTCGTCTCCTAACGTCCCTCTACCATATCGCCTTGTTCGCCAGGCGTCTGGGGAGGAGTCAGCAGCCCTTCGTGTGGCTGTTACAGCACTAACGCCCGGGAACTGCTGCCCGGGACCCAGGGCCGTGGCACCACCAGACGTCCGCTCGCCTCCATGTGAGCACACACTGCCAGGCCTGCAGCCTCGAGTCCCTGTCGGGTGAGCCTTACGCCCAGGTCTCCCTCGCAGCCTCCTGGGCAGCCTCTCAAGCTGCGGCCCCTGGGCCAGTGTCTGCACCGCCTGGCACTGAGGAAGGAGCCCCCAGGCCCGCCCAGCCCGGAGCCAGGAAAAGACGGGGCCCAGTGAGGAGGTCGCCCCCCGGAGGGGTCATGCTGGCTGCTCGGGCTGGAAATTGGGACTCGGGGGCAAGAGGCTCGCGTTGCCAGAGGAACGCTGGGGCCCTTCCCGGAGCAGGCGTCCCAGTCCAGGCCTCCACGCCCCGGCGCCGCCGCCTGCAGAGTCCACGGGCCCCTGCACACGGCGCCATTTCACGCACTTTCCGTCCGATAAGGGTTTTGTGCGTGCCACGCTCTCCATAAACGTGAACACACTGGCATGTACTGGACTAAAGGACAGGCTGTGGGGGGAACGGGTTTATTTAAAATAGTCTGCTGTCACAAAGGCAAGAGCAGATACTGTCTGGTCGTCGTAATTTCAGCAGGTTCCTCCCTATAATCAACGCCAAAGGAAATGGGGCCGCTCCCAACGTCCGCCCGTTGGTATTTACGGTCCAGAACTGTTGCCTGTAGCGACAACAGCCACCCCCACACGGCCCACGAACCAACAGCACAAGCACCAGAGCGCCCTGTGCAGGGGCCTTCACAGCCCATGGGACGGATGGCGAGGGGCCGGCTGGTTGGGCCAACAGCCCGTGGCGTGGCCCAGTGACCGGGGGCTACGCCCTTCAAGGACAGAGAGCGGGAGGGAGGTGGTGATCACGCTGCGTCCCTCGAGCTCCACATAAACACATCGGAGTCTCCAGGAGGAGAGCGGTGGGCCAAGCAACGTGTCCGCCCCTTCCCCCAGAACACACGTACGCAGGAGCCCGGCTTATCATGCGATAGGCCGTGATTATTCTTTTCAAATTGTCCTCACTTCCTCTTGAGAACATGCGCTTCCTGTCCAAGGCGAGGGTCCCTGCGGGAGTCACCAGGCCGGGCTCCCGCGTGCCCATCTCCCTGGGGGTTTCCCGGGGCCACGCTGGGGGTGGCGGCACCAAAGTGACGGCGGATGCAGCGCCTGGATGTTCATCTTCTGAGACGTTTGTAATCGAAGGAGAGAAAACACTTTTCTAGAGCAACACAGACCTCGCGTGAAAAATCGTATTTCATAGACGCCACTGTCATCGGGGGAGGGCACATCATCCTCTTTGTAATGCACGGAAAGGCAAGGAAGACGGGCCGTGCGCTGGTCAGATTTATGTTAACAGGGGGCTCGTGCTACATTCACCGAGGAGAGAGAGAAAATGTCACCGCTGGGTGAAGGCATGTGGCCGAACAAGGAGGTCCCACCTCACACCTGTCTGAACGGCTACCATCAAC